ATGCCTATGATCATAACGTTCCTATTTGTGTTTTAGTCCCAAATTTTTGTGCTGTTGTTGTTTTGCTGTGAAATTATTAAGAAAAATTGAATTATGTGTTCTTGATTTTTTTATTCATTTATTTTATTTAGTTTAATTTTGATGCCAAAATTGGAGTTCCATACAATATCGCCTAAAGTCAAGTGGCGCAGTGCAGAAGTCAAGTAGCACAGTGCAAAATTCAAGTAGCAGCACACGCATTTGGATTTGCACTGCGGCACTTTCGTTTTGCACTGCGATTGTTGTTTTTCCTTTTCGCGATATCACGCCAAAAGGACAAATTACAATCGCAGTGCAAAATCAAGTGGCACAGTGCAAAACTAAAGTGGCGCAGTGCAAAATTCAAGTAGCAGCACACGCATTTGGATTTGCACAGCGCCACTATCGTTTTGCACAGCGCCACTTTCGTTTTGCACTGCGCCACTTTAGTTTTGTACTGTGCCACTTTAGTTTTGCACTGTGCCACTTGACTTTTGCACTGTGCCACTTGTAATTTGTCCTTTTGGCGTTCCATATTGGCGTTCCATACGTTTCTGCTGAAGCTGCAGCGCGGGGGACCGTCGAGATTGGTCCAGTGAAGGGCAGCCCAGAACACGGTATCAAAGAACTTCGGTATCTAAGGCTAGGCCCCGATTAGTAATGGCCAGTAATCATAATGTATGCACTGGATATGTTGATGCTTTCAAGGCTTTTCTCGATGATGAAAACATAGGCCTAGGCCTAGATGATGAGGAGGACTTTGGAGGGAATTTTTATGAGTTGTTAAATGATGAGGACAAGCTAACCCAGGATGATAGCGATGGAAGTGGGAGTGACGATGAAGTGCCTAGGCCTAGCAGTACTACTACTACCACCACCAGGGGAAGGCGTAACAGTAGAAGGTTGGCATGGAAAGAGCAGGCGTATGATGATGCTTGGTTGGGGAAATTTAGCCCACGAACCGGGCCACTTGTACACGATGTTGAATCTTCTTTTTATGATATTTTTCATTATTTTTTGGATGATGAAATTCTAGAATATGTCACCGAGGAGACCAACAAATATGTTGCACAGCAAATGTGCCTACTAGAACAAATGCCTGAGCATTCAGGTTTAAAAGATTGGCGTGACACAAACGTAGGTGAATTAAAAGCGTTTATTGCTATACTTCTAGGTATTGGAATGGATAAGCGTGGTAGTTATGACGCATACTGGTCCAGTAACTGGTTCTTAGAGCGACCTGGATTAAAATCTGTGATGTCCAAAAACAGATTTTTGATGCTCTTCAGATTCCTGCACTTTGGAAAAAGGGATAATGTTTTACCAAGGGATAACCCAAATTTTGACCCGCTTTTGAAGATCCGCCACTTCATGGAACACATAATAAGCAAATTTCAAACAGCATTTTACCCATCAAGAGAAGTGTTTGTGAATAAACGCATAATTCCTTTCGAGGGTTGGACTGGATTTTCGTCCATGCACCATTCAAAGAAGAGCCATAAAACAAGAATGATGGCATTGACATTGGTTGATGCAAACACAGGATATATATTCAACTCATGTATATGTAGTGGGATAGCGCTAAACAATTCCACACAGGAGGTTGTTACTTCATTGTGTCGTCCCTTGTTTGGAAATCGACACCATGTCTATATGGATAACTATTTTACGTCCCCTGCTTTATTTTCTGTCTTGGCAGCCAACAATTTAGGTGCTTGTGGGACACTTAAAACAAACAGAATCGGAGTCCCAGAAGCAATAAAGGATGCAAATCCTCAAGAAGGTAAACCAGCAGTGACGGAGAGGGACGGTAACTTGTTGTTTTTGGCATGGAAGGATAAAAGACAAGAGAGTTTCGTCCTTACCACAATACACAATTCTTCAACATTTATGAAAGTAAAGAATGCACCCAACGGCAAGCGAGAGATTACAAAACCATGCGCAATTGAATTGTACACCCAGTACGTGGGAGGTGTCGATCGTGTAGACAGATTAAGATGGACCTATCTCCACATTCATAAATCTTTGAAATGGTGGAAAAAGCTTTTTTTGTACCTACTGGAGACATGCTTTGTGAATGCATTAATTGTATACAGATATTTACATCCCAATAAAAAAACACTGTCGTATATATTACGTCTTGAACTAATAGATTGCTTACTGGAAGGCTATACACGCACCAACAGCAGGTTGGGCAGCAAATGGTCTACTCCACCAAAGCGACTGACTGAGCGGCATTTTCCGTCAATCAACATGGACAAAACAAAAGGAGGGAAGCAAAGCAAGCCAGATTGTGTTGTCTGCTCCAACAGAGATATAAAACGGCATCAAACGCAATATAAATGTAGTGAGTGTCAGTTACCAATGTGTGCCGCTCCATGTTTTATGCGATTTCATACACTGTCTGATTACAAAGTAAACTGTTCATGGGAATATCACAACTCATAAATAAATGTACATACACTTTAAACTTTTTAAAGAAATCACTATTTAGGGGACAATTGCCAAATATTGAAAATGAAATTTTCTTCTTTTAAGGGGTTTTCAAAGACAATACTGTACAATGATGACATGCAGTACTGTATGTAGGTTCTTTACAATTTATGGTTTAATTTGACTTGCGTATCTGGTGATATTTTGCAAACCTTTTACAGTATTAATATTCTATGTTCAATTTTATGCGCTAAAATCAATAATATATTATGATGAGCAGATTGTCGCTACACGCATGCCATACACACGCGTTGCAGCTAGGCAATCAGAATAGTTCCTGTGCTTTGCTTACAAAAACATACTTTCCAAACATTTTTCTTGATCTAGCATCGATTTTGTAAAATATAATGTTGAGTAAATAAAATATAATTTACTACCATAGCTATGTGTATAAAAGTACAATTTGTTTACAAGATTTTCTTCTATGATGCAAGACAAAAATGCATGACAGAGCAGCAAGCTCGGCTGTTGGCTAAACTAGAGGTAGTGACTGTGTACTGAACTGTGGAGATCTTATGTTTCATCTGTGCTGATATTTAAGTTTCAAAAGCTCACCGTCTGGTCCTGTGAGCAAAATGGCCCATCTGCATGTTAAAGAACACATTACACTCTTCAGTTTTTTTGTATAATACAAGATATACAGTACAAACCTTATGCACATTTATTATTTCATAATTTTAGAAAATTTTATTCAAATGTATACAATACCATGACCCTGCCAACCAACAACAGTAACTGTAAATATACAGTATGATTATTATTTACTGGTAATGCAATTAAAAATCAGCAATTCCATAAACGAGTACAGTATTTCCAAACAAAAAATTGGCAGTAAATGTGGCCACTGGCATCGAGCCAGTACTCTGGGACCAAAAAATAAACTGCATATTACTTAAAATGTTTCTATCTTTTCTACAGATAATACAGTATAGGAAATTAGGCACTTAAATACCCAAGCTGCAATTGCTTTAGGGCCCCAGATACTAGTCATCGGGACTCTAGCAGCTATGCTGTCCAGGTTGCATGTGGCCGCTGCCTACAATTATCAATGTTGTGAAAAGTGGCATATCCAGGGGGTGCACACAACCCTCTAAAAATACTTGCAACCCCTCCTTAAAAAAAAATCATGCTCAAGTAATTAAAAATATTTCGCCTCACCTACTGTAATTATTAAGCCCCGTTTTCCCCCCCCCCCATTTCAAGATCCTAAATACGCCTCTAGTTGTGACAGTCTTGTGCATGCTAGTACCCTGTATAGTTGAGGCATGCTATCTCGAAACAAGCATCTACGGCCAGGATAAAAAACTGAATTTTTAATACTGTACAAACAATAGTTGCCGAACATAATGTATTCTGTCATTTTAAAGTAATTTTTTACCAATTCACTTGAAAACCAGCAACAACAATGGTAATTTGTCATCAATCTCTGGTTTAATCTCTCTGTTTCCATTTATGAATTTTGCAGTGGCAGATCCAGGAATTTAAAATAAAGGGAGCCCAGGGAGCAACTTTCACAGATAGAGGGTCTAGACCACCTCAGTCCCACCATTGTTGGGGCTGAGATAAGAAAATGTATGATTATGGCACCCTCTAGATAGGCAGAAATGGCACTTTCAGACATAAATTTGAAAATATTTATTTATTTTTTTTTTTTAATTTTGAAAAATTTAGGGGGGAAGTGGATATTACTTTATAGATATTATGCACAGACATCATTTTTGGAGATCCAAAAAGTTTTTTGAAGTCTCCCATTGACTTCTTAACTCATCCTTTATCTTGTCATTTTCAAATATACAGTCTATACTATTAAATGATATGTCATACAGCTGCTGTTTAGTGAAATGAAAGGTGTTCGACACGATAATGTATTCTGCAGATGAAGAGGTTAACATCAATCCCTTGTCATCAGTCTGAAAAACAAAGTGCAACAATGTGTATCAGTGAATCAATCAACCAATCATTCATTCATTCCATGAATCTCTCATTTATTCATTCACTTAATTATTTAATCACACATTTAATCACAGGTATTAACTCTGTATATTCCTGAGGTTCAATCAATAAATCATACATTTAACGAATGCATTAATAAATCAAATAATCAACTATTAGTTATTTACTTGTTATATTTAGTATTTATATAGCACCTTTCCTTTTAGATTACAAAAGTGCTCTGTTTTCCATGGGTTCACACATGCTTAAGTGTTAGCAGGCAACCCCACCAGATACTCATTTATACTCCTGGGTGGAGAGAAGCAATGCAGATATAGTGCCTTGCGCAAGGACACAAGCGAAATGCACAGCGAGGGATTGAAACCCCAACCTCGACGTTGGAAAACCAAACCATTCCCACTGCGTCCAGTTGCTTCCACAAAACTAATTTTTAAGTAGCTACAGCTACTATGTTTAAATCTGAAGTTTTCCATAGTACCTGTAATACATTTCTGCAGATATATATTTCTTTATTATTCACTTGTTTATTTACAATATCAACATACTCACACAAACTATGCAGGGATGTTTTTTGTCGTACCAATACTTAAAGTGATGTTTGTCAAAAGAGGGAACAGTTCGACCTAGAACATTGGAAGTCAAACATGTTTCTGAAAAAGAAATAATGAATAGAAAATTATTACAATTAAAAAAACGTGCTTGTTATAGTATATCTTTCGATTTATAATGTTGAAAAAAATACTGTCGAAGCTACATGAAAGAAATTCAGATACTGTATGACCCGACTTTCTGTAAGAGATCAAGAAAAAAATGAAAATTGGACAAAGTTAAAAATTCTGTTACTTTGGTGGAAATTCAACTGATGTGACTAGGGCCTACCAATGCAAATCTTGCTATAAATTCACATAGGCCAGGCCCACTGCTTTCTGTCTGTTTATAGACTAGAAAACAGCTGAAAAAACTTTCAAAATTTGGGTACCATTGAAAATGTATTGTGTTAGTTGAGTGAATAAGATGGGTCTAATAGGGTGATGACTTTATAAGTACAAAAAAAAAAACCGCCTAAAACCACCGACGAGTGCTTTGTTGGCCATGTTTTTCATGAGTTGTTTACATCTGATAAAAACTACAGCATCGCATCGGTGCTGAACCACAATGCTTCGGTCTATGATATACCTAGCCAGACCGCAAAATATACACTACCGTTAATGAGGCTGGTGATATTAAACTACAGTACTAACCATGCTGCTAAGCCGCAGTACAATATGATAGTATTTGATAATTTAAATATACCGTAAAACCTCGAATTGAAGCCCTGGGCTTCTCTTTTTTGGTGAACATTTGATGGGCTTCTCTTCAAGATGGGCTTCTTTTCAAGATAGGCTTCTTTTCAAGGCTACTTTTGCAAAGTAAAGGGGGGGGGGAGGGAGATTCTTTTCAAAATGAGTGCTGTAAATTTTGTTAATTTGTACTATAAAACAACAAATACGGCCACTGTAACTTCAATCTGCATCTTGGATATTATTTAACTGACATAGTACTGTAAATCATCACCTAAACTACTGTATAAACCAAGCTTGTTTTTAATTTATTTTGTTTTTTTGAAATTTATGTATAGTGTATATACTGTGCTATCTTGAAAAGAAGCCCATGGGATTCTTTTTGAGATGTGCTTCATTTTGAGGTTAATTTTGCAAACTAAAGAGGGGGCTTCAATTCAAAATGGGCTTCATCTCGAGATAAGGCCCACTGGGCTTTAATTCAAGGTTTTACAGTACTGTATTTTAATGTGTGTTTGCATCAGGAAAATATCATAAGAGTGATGTTTTGGCCTACATGATGTAGTTATCATACCGAGTGGGAATCAAACCCACGACCTCCACAGCCTTAAATATACTTTCGTATTTATAGTAAGATAATAATAGTGGGAAACGATGTGAACCACACATGTTAAAAAATGAAAAATAACAGCCAATTAGCGAACTATTTTCCATTGGTGATTACCGCGGGAAAAAACCACATCAGCAGCACTATAACGTTATGTGTATTTTATATAATAATGAAAAATTACACCAACCTATAGGAATATTGTACTTTTGTGTCATGTCTACCAAGTCTTGTCTTCCACCTACTTCTGGATGAAGGAAGGTTCCATGACCAATCCGATCTGGTGGGATGGATAATAACAAAGCACTTTCTTCTACATGGTTTGTTCTCTGTTACGAAAGGTAAAACATTTTTTTAATACACAAATTTCAAGTAAATTTCAAAAAAGATTTTAGGATTGTTTTTGGGGGTATTTTGCATGGGACAATTTATCTTTAATAAATTGGGCAGTAGGTATAGTAGAAGAGCAGGGGTCCCAAGTTGTGAAAGTCAAATTCCTGGAGAATTTGTCATGCAGGACAGCCAGTAGCTTTGCAACACATGCACTAGCTAAAACGCATGTACAAGGACACACTTGTACACATTTTTTGCCATGTTCATTATAAAAACAAAGAGGCTTGGGCAAGTTTAGGTTACTGTTAATACCTGCCTAGAATGTTCAATAAATCTTACAGGTATGTCACCATACTTAATACACAAGAATAGGAAAATTGAGCTAAGCATAAGCCCTAAATCTCTTAAAATCCTGGAGAAATTCAAATTCTGGGAGAAAATATGGAATTTCCGGGAGACTGGAAGATGAACCAAAAGTACTGGAGACTCCAGGGCAATCCGGGAGACTCTGAAAGAGTGACAAAATAATATGCAGTGAACCATGGAGATTCTACAAAAACACAGGTTACATTGTACAGCCTTTTGTAAACGGACCCAAGTGCATAGTAAACAATTGGTGGGATTGTTCTCTATTTTTCAAATACTTAATAAACATATTATTGTAATTGTTCTTTTCATATGAACATTACTACCAATAAAATAGAACTGTCCATCGCAATGTTGCGCATTATCTTTTTTTTGCCTGAAATTGAGTTAATTGATATATCATTATCCTACTCACCTCAGCAATGTGAAGAGCAAGTTTAAGCCCTGCGTTTTTAGCTTCTTTTAAAACAGGAACAAAATCATTCATATCACCAACCTTAAAAATACATTTGACAAAGTCAACTTCTAAAATCATTTCAATAGTAATAATAATAATAATAATAATAATAATAATACTGTAATATCAATTTGGTCTCTTACATTTGGATTACCGCTCAAGTCAACACCAATTACGATCCCTTTGCTCGATTCCTTGAATTGTTTGGCTAATTGTACAGTTTCCATGGCAACATTCACACCTCTACTTCTGTCAACTGACAAAAGAAACCTTTTTAATTTGTAAAAAAAGAAAAAAAAGAATGTTAGAGATTAATAGCAGCTCGAAAATATGGCCTGTTATCTCCCACCCTCCATTTTTTTTAAAAGCTGAATTTATCCAAAGCTTCATTATTCTGCAATAAACTCACCTTACGATGATTTTTACATTTTCTTGCATACATTTCTCAATTGCCTGCAAGACAGCCTCTACATACGATTGTTTTGTCATTCCTGAAAGCATACAACAACCATCATCAGTTGAGAATTATTGTCAATAACAGCAGCATACTAAAAAAACACTGTCGTTGTAGTAGAAGTGATTTGTTGCAGCGAGGTTGATTTGGTTTCCCAATCTTGAGGCTGTGGTTTCAATCCCTTGCTGTGCATTTCACTTGTGTCCTTGTGCAAGGCTCTTTCATTGCTTTTCTCCACCCAGGAGTACAAATAGGTACCTGGTAAGGTTAAATGCCAAAATGTGCTGATGTAGGTGCTGCAACGTTATGGAATTCTGCAACGTTATGGAATTCTCCCCCAGGGAGCTCGAGTTTGTTTTCCATATGCGTTTAATCCAATGACCAGGGTAATGATAATGTGAAGCACATAGGAGGCACAACATAATGTATATAAGTCTACCATTATTATTTATTGATTCGTGTCAGCTGACAACAAAAGCCCAGCTTTAGCCTCATTCATACTCATCACAAACATTTAAATGTTTTTCTATTTGATCATTTGATTTCCATTTGTATTTTGATGTTTTATGTTTTTGATGTATTTGCATATATGATGTGTCAAATGTTTATTATATATTTTATCTCTCCATTTTGGAGGTTTTTAGATATAAATTGAAATTGAATCCAATAATCACAGAATTTGAAAACTAACCTGTACTTGGCACATCCCTCGGGGTACTCCGCAACTCTAAGTAACGCACATTATCATTGGCAAACTCTTTGATTACATCATATGTTACCATGGAAACAGTATCAGTGTCTGTCACAAGTTGGTGCATTATTTTAAACATCTCAAAAGTCCTATAAAACAAACACAATATATTTAATTTCTTTTATTCTGAGCCTAGCACCTGCCAATTGTAAATATATATCACTACCTTATATTGTCACTTTCACTAAACAAAATACATAAGAAATGAAAAATATCAAAGTGAAATATAGACTTAAATAAATGAGATTAATTACTCATCCAAGTTTTTCTTCTCCCCCTTCTTTACTGAATGAATCCACTTGTTTAACTTTAGCATGTCCACTCCGACAAGATCTTTGTTATGAATAATTTTTTCCATCGTCTCAGCACTTATTGAGCCATTTACATGAGCATGCAGCTCCTAAAAATGTGAAACACATGATTAAAGTAATTTTTTCCTACACACAGATGACGTAATTGTAAAGAAACAACAATTCATTAGTATTACTATACTTCTACTTTTGCCTTTTGGGATTTTTTTTCCACAATTTCAGTGGAAAATAATATTTATTAGTTATCTTGCAGCCTATACCTATGTTATAGGCCTGGCCCTAGGCCTACCTATTTGTATAACTATAATAATATTATGCGGAAAGTTTAAGTTATAGCCATCCATGCTGCCAAGTGTCACCTCAATTGAAAATTTCCAGACACACATGCACACAGTGTTAACCAGGCAAGTCATATTCATTGTTGATGCATAGAGAAAATAGGATGTAATTGTTTCTCCCTGGAAAGCCTAGGCCGCTAGGCTGAGCGAGGACTGTGTCTGTACACACAGGCCCCAGCTCTCCCAGTTATGTAGGCCATAATAATACTCCAGCCTAGCCTCTCTATTCTAGTTTAGTTTAGCAGGCGCTAGGCCTGGCCCTCTTTACGCCCTAAATTCAGCCAGCCAGAATAAATCATAAATGACCAACTGCAAACTATGAACGAGTATAACAATTTACTAACAATCTTTGGTAAAATTTTGCAGAACTCTTCCATTTCGAAGCTGACATTCGACCACATGGATGGATACATGGATGTGTCTGGTTATATTGTGGTCACGTCTTTGGCTTTTGATTTGACCAAGTTTTTGACTTACCCAAGTTCCAACTATAGAGGGCGCAGTATCGAATCGGCTCCATGAAAAAAAAACCATCCAGTGACTCCGCTAACTCAATCGTGAAAGAAAAGTAAGAACGACATGGATGTAGCAACACACGTTGTGAAATTTGGTGGGCAGACGAATGGAAGAGACAAGTTATTTAGGTAAATATAGGTTGGTTGGTATACCCTTAAAAAATACCTACGCCCTAGAGAAAATTTAGGCTAAGCAGAAGCTATGTCAGCATGAATTTTCTTTAGTTTATTTTTTAGGCCTAGGGCAGGCTATGTACTCTGTTGACGTTGACTCAAGCGGGCAGCGTACACGAGTCAGACAGTACCAGTAAAGTAGGCGTGTCCCAGTTTATTCACAATCCATTCAGATATTCCCATTGTAGTAGGGCTACCAGCAGTAAATTAGTAGGGCATATAACAAGTACTGGTACGGGCATTTATATTGCGCCTTTTCCTTTCGCTTATAAAGTGCACGCCAAATCTCCAAGCTGAGGGAAAAATTCAAGGCAGGATGGCCCACTAAAACAGAAATCACAAGCGCCACAATTGTATATAATAATTAGCCGCTGCCTGCTAGTGCTTCTGCTGCTAATTTGCTGGTGAGATTATCATTTATATTCAGGGTTTTTTTTAACTTATGCTTCTTAAATGAGCAGTTCAATGTTTTAATTGAGTTTTTCCATACTGTAAACTTTAATTGCACAAATGATACCTCAAAACCAGCTCAAATTTGCACAGAAATCGCTAGAAAAACAGGTGCGCAGATTACTGCATAATACATTGTTTATATATTAAGTTTAGTTCAAAGCCTAATTTTTGGCAAAATCTGTGCAGGAAATTGGCCCTTATTTTTTTTTACATACTCGATTTCTAGGCCAATTTTTGCGTGGAGGATATATTCCCTGCATAGTCCTTACTAGGCCTATACATTCTGGGAGTTTTTGGGGTGTTTTTACATAGTAAGTCCTTGGTATGTATACAGTAAATATGTTTTTAATAAAGTTCTTTGTTTGTTAATTACAGGACCGTCCAGTATTCTAGTAAATTAGTTTGGTGGGGCTTGGAGAACAGCATTGGAACTCAAGAAACAATTACCAAACTCAAAAACCTAGAAAAGGCATTAAGTACCACGAGAAAGTGTAAGTTTTTCAAATGTACAGTGTATTAAAAACAATTTTTCATTGAATGCACCTGTTAGATCTTATATTATAAAAATTTTAAAGAGTGATCTTATACTTTAAGCAATATTAATAATAATAATATCTCTGGTTGAGAAGTAAACAGAATTATTTCCTTGCCAGAGACTTCAAGGGTCATCCCTAGTACTTCTTTGCAGTGGGAAATACATCTTGTAACACTACGGCCAACACCTATTAAGGGGACATCCCTATTAAAAGGACGGGGAAACTTTCCGAGTGGATTTATTTTTCTTTGTTTTTTTTGTACTTTTATAGGATTCTAATTTATAGCATAACACACACCCTTAATTCTAATGTGTTACTCAATTTATTCTACTGTACATCCATCCGATAGAAAGCTCAATATTTTAAAAAAAAAAGAATATTTGGTCAATAATATTGCATTATGATATAATATATAGAAATATTATTTTAATTTCATATCTGTTGATTTCATTTTATATGAACTGTATTTGCATTGCAAATTATTGCTATGAATTAATTCTAATTCTACTGTAACTGATTCTTATGTCTTTAAAAAAAATTAATACAGAGTGTATCATTCTATGAAAACATGCCAAAAACCCCTATATTAAGGGGACAATTTTACAAAAAATGTGTCCTCTTAATAGGGGTACCCCTATTCTGGGACACTTTTTTTTAGTGCCGAAGATGTCCCCATAATATGGGTTCTACTGTATTTGATTTGTAGTAACACTGTTCTTAATTGTTGCTATAAAAATTATTGGGGAATAAATCAAATATAAAAAATGTAAATATATAATGTTTCAGGTATAAGATATTTTTCAGTGACAGCAATTTTGAGTGGGAAGAAGGGCCACTATCCACTGTTAAAAATCCAATTTATTCAGTGATCACCTTCCTAGCCCTTATAGTGATTTAAATTCTGGTTTTCACCCCTGCAGAAGTCTCCAATGACAAAGCAAATCTGATAAAAGCTATTCAATCACAGTGTAGATAAGACTGCTGTGCACATACTGAAGGTCATAAGGTCTAAATCAATAAAAGCATAATGGTAGGCAATCTCTGCATTAGCCAATCATGGGAGATGTATGAAGATTAGCAGCAGCTCAAATGAACTTATTTTTTTAAAGATTGTCCGAGAACAGAAAGAGAATAAAAATAAAATTGTGATTTCTTATTTAGCAGGTAGTTTCGCCAAAAACATCCAGATGGAGGAGAAAATAAAATTATATTGGTGAATGTAAACAATGGGATGGTTAAATGCTTTAAATTTATATAATTAGGAAGAAAATACATATCTCATTTTTGGAGATTTCAAGGCAGTGAAGGGCATAATGAAAATAAAGAAAAACTTTTATTTATTTCTGAAATTTCCATTTTTCGTGGTGGCAGGTATGCTAATAGTCCAAAAATAAAATTGTATTTTTATTCGAAATCATTATTGGCGGGCAACGGCTTCATAAACAAGTTATAAAAAAGGTCTGGCCTCAGTAATATTAAAAGTAAAATAATAAATATCAATGGAATAGAAGGCATAAAATATACTGTAATTATTTTTAAAATTGTTATATCATTTTATGCTTTATTAGCTCCAGATACTCCCTGCCCCTTCATAGCAAATTAGTTCCACTTAGTATGTTAAATACTGAAAAGTTACATTGGAATAGGGATTTAGTTCTGTATTTTGAAATTTTGTACCCTCCAGTTCTGCATTTTCAATTTTCACACCCCCACCCCACCCCTCAGGATGAAACCAGCCTACAGTATGCTTCATCCGGAATAGTTTAAATTTTTTTAAATACTTAAATTTCTTGAGATGTGACAGCATCTTTTTTCACTTCAAATAAAAATATGAACAGAATTATAATCTTTGATTCTTTGAGTGGTGTGCAAGCGTAAATCACCCATCAACCGATGCTACGACTTGGTTGCCCATCCAAATAATGTTATTGATTGCCAATCCCTAATATTGTGGTCTAAAAGCACAATCTGGGTCAAAGCCATGGAAACTCTTCCTGTGAAGACTAACAGGGATTTTTATTCTCACCAAGGCTCTAGGTAGCCCCTTGCTTCGGAACACCTGTCAGCAAATTTCTGGAGCCACATTGGTGGTGTGATTAGACTTGCCACAAGTCTCTAATTAATGGATTTTTCGTAGTACATTAGCGCATTTCGGAAAGCGCCACCAGCGTCCGTTTATGTTGAGAAACTTTTGATGAGAATTAGCCTAATCCCAGAAAAAGTATACTATGGAACGCCATTTGTGCCAAAATCGATTTATTCTTAAGCATTTCAACTGATGAGACAAAGATTAGGGAGTGGAACCCAGTCTAGTGGTGTGATGTTCAGTGAATTATTGTAAAATTAAAATCCTAATTCAATGTTTATTGCTTTTTCCCTTCCAGTGCTACGTTTTGGCAAGAGTTTTGACATGCTGCATGCTGCGTTAAGAACGATTCATCATCCAGATGTTTTTGTACGAGTGACAGTAACAATGTCAAAAATCAACCAAGCCTTTTACCTCCTGTTTGATCATTTACTATGGGCAGACAGAGTTGGTGTTTTCAAAACTGACAAGGATAAGTACAGCAAGATATCAGCAAAATTCTGGTTGGCAACAATCATTTTAAATTTATCGAGAGACTTTTACGAACTTGCAGTCTTGCTTGGTAAAACTGCATTGGAATATGAAAGGGGAAAGAAATCTGAAGATAGTTTGAGAGAGAATGGTAAAGTGTCTTCTTCAATGGGTGATGTTGCAGAATACCAAAATGATGTATTTATTATCTTTAGAAAATGCTTGAGGGAAAATGTGCAAGTAACATTAGATTTAGTGAAAAATTTGGCTGATCTGTTCCTTCCTACCTCTACTTTAGGTTATCTTAAGTTGTCTCCAGGAGTGCAAGGTTTATTTGGAATCATTGGCTCGCTGGTTGGCGTGCTCACTGTATGGGATGCAAGTTATAAACTTTCACCATAACTTGCATATGGGCTTGTACAGGTAATTTAATTTCAACCAGGATAATATGATCATTAATAATTAACAACATTCTACAATGTAGTTCTGTGCCTCATGGATTTATCAGCTATTTTTAACCAACTTTCTGGCAGTGGGATGATGGAGTGTGAAAGTGACAAGTGATATGAGGTGATTTATGATGACTTGAGCATAGCATTTTTGCTCAGAAAATGTTCATTGAGGGGTATGCAATTTCTTGGGTGTGCCTCACCCCTATGTTTATCACTCAATATGTGTTTGTTGGGGAAAACCCTCCATAAATACTACATCTAGTAATCAGCACATTTTCAATGGACCTCTTCCCCAATATGAGTAAAAACTATGCATATTGTGATTTCAGAAAGAAAAATATTTTATGCTCATTTTTTAAGTGACGATGAATTTTAAAAAGCCTATAAAAATGGTAATTAATGTTGTTAAAAGAAAAAAGTATCATTTATGTTTATATTTTTATAATTATTACATCTTATTAATGGCCTGTGAAATCAATGTTTTAAAGTACTGTACATTGTAATTTTGTATATCTTTAGGGATTAATACAAGTCTTTACAAATGAAATAAAGTACAGTGTTTTCTTGTGATTTGATATTCAAATGTTTTTGTATCTCTTCTTAAATTAATACATTATTATACATTATATGAAAAAGGAGCTATTGATTATTAAAAGCAATATTAATTAGATATATAGTACTGAATATTTGAACTAATTATGTAATTATTTCTTAATGTTTACTTTACAGTATTAATTAGTAAAAATGTTTATACAGTAGTGATTGATATATATATATATATATATATTTTCAATTTATAAATAGCAGGTCACTTTACAAGACAATCACTAGTTTGTCTTGGGCTTTAACCATCCATTATTTCTACAAGAGTACAAAACATACGCTAAAAGTAGAAGGTTGGGGGAAGGGGTAACATTATCTGTACTATGTTAAAAAAAATATCTCGAAATCTTTCATGGGAAGGGAGGGGCAGGCCTGGAAAAGAAATTGTGCCTCAGACAATGAAAATTTACTTGATAAAATGGCTCCAGCATCAAATGTCATCGGTACACTACATAGCCCAACAGTTTATTCCCCCCCCCCCCCAAAAATGATGCCTCCGACCACTGGTCGCGCACCAGTTCCAGCCCTGGGGAGGGATCACTCTACAATGATGGAAAGAACGAATGAGCCCTAAAGTGTATCAATCATTTATTAAAATTAAATATTTTTCTGTGATGGTCAGAAACTGTCACCTCATTGTCTGTCAATGTAATGTTGGAATTATAAAAAATGCATATAAAACAAATCAGATCTATAGTTGTCTTCTCTTATTGATCATGTACTTTGTACCAGCTTTTATTATACACCATGAAGAAAATATTTTCTCCATGATTATACTTGTTCTCTTGGAACAAGTAAATTCTTTCATGCTAGATTATTAATGACCTGCTCTCACATTATATTTTTGTTTATTTTCATTGTATGCATATGTAAGGCGAGACGACTTATTCCTTGTTTCATGTACTTATTTTCTTGAAAGATCATTGGGGGAGGGCGGAATAAAATTTAAAATTTATTGGTGAATGCTGTAAAATTTATATAATTGGGAAGAAATATACATATCAAATCTTTGAAGATTTCAAGGCAGCAGAGGGCGTAATAAAAAACTTTTTTTTTTTTTAATGAAATTTCCACTTTTTCGTGGTGGCGGGTGTGCTAATTGGCAAAAAATAAAATTTTATTTTTATTTCGAAATCATCAATATTAGCAGTCGATGACGTATAAAAAAAACCATCGCCTAATGACAATTGAATTAAATGATTTTCTATAATCTCTTTTTTTTGGTTACTTTCACTGTTATATGTATCAATGATGAATTTGTTACCCTTATTTATTTTGTTTTGTTGATTGATGGCAATGATGATGATCTTTCTTTTATATAAATTCAACACATTTTAAGTTCCATCGTGTAATGTTTTATATAATTTATTGAAATACTGTATCTGTATTTAGCTTATATAAGAAGACGTGATTTACTTTCTTCCGTTCTCCAAATGTTACTTTGTAACTGTAAATGGGCTAGAGGCATAAAATACAAATACATGTCCTAGACCACAGGGGTCTAGAAACGAACAAACGATAAGCTCCTTAGAATAATATTGTTCAAATTAAAATGATAAATGATTACATCAATATTGTGGAAATTGTTTTCAGTTTAACTACAGTACATTACAGTACCATTAGCAAGTATTTGACATATACACAGCAAGCCACAGGTGTCTCCCGGAAATAGGGACATCCCCCCCCCCCCCAACCATCCCGCAAGCAAGCATCTTTCAAAAGATAACCCATCTCCCACAAATGTATACTGTTTTTACCACTTTGTGTGTCTTAGGAATCAAGTGCTGATGGTTGTGTTAAGAAAAATAATTTAACCACTTCTCCCAAAAGTAACTTCTTCCAACTTGGAACCGCTGAAATCTCCATGTACACAATTTAATCAAAACTTAATTCATTTATGCATATCATCTTTCAACTCTTCCTATAAACTTGTCAATCCATCAGTCTCAATATAAATAACAGGTATCCAGTACAAATGTTATTGATGTACTGTAGAAGAAAATGAACTTCTGTTGGCAACTGTACTGCTACTCAACCAGGTAATACTGCAGTCTTAATTTCTCTTCTTCCTTTTCAACATAAAAAAATCAGTTCTATAAGAGGCCAGTTAGAATTTCTTGTTCTTTGAAAGAGCATTGTTTCTTTTAATATGCATTTTACGGATTTTCCTCCAGTACTTTCGAGTGTCTGGATCAAGTTCTTCCAATTTTTGTGGTGGCCCTATATGCAGGTCCCATAACCATTCTGGATATTCAGAGTCTGGTTTAAGTTCAACTTCAGGGCCCTCTTTCATATAATTTAATCCAACACAGTACTTAACAAGCTCCTGTGGGTCCTTTGCTTCATATACTACTGGTTCTGGTAACTTGGCTGCCGCTTTCCCTATCAGATGGGGCAAGAGTAGAGGATTAGTACAATATTTGATTTATAGAACAATCTATACTGTAAGTCAAACAATTCCTCTTGGAACCCCTGACATTAAAATATTCAACAAATCATTGTCTTAAAGGCTGAAATAGGATATTTATGTAACCTAATTAGAAGGTATGCAATTTTTTTTTTTTGGCAAGGTGTTTTCGGGATACAGTATGGCAAAAAACAATAAAAATAAAAGAAAATAGTGCCCTCAATTAGGCCAAAAATCCACAACTTTGCACTTTGCATTTCATTTTTTGTTATAACCAATGATATGAAAAATCCAACTACAGAGGGCAGCAGACACATTTTCTGGAACATCAGACATTACTAGTTCCAGCCAGCTAATGTTAAGGCGAGACTTTTTTCATTCCTTGTTTCGCATCCTTATTTTTTTGAAAGAATATCGGAGGAGGGTGGAATAAAATAAAAGTTAAATTTTGTTTTCTTATTTAGCAAATTGTTTTGCCAATATCATCAAGATGGAGGAGAAAATAAAACTAAAATTTTATTGGTGAATGTACAATAGGATGGTTAAATGCTTCAAATCTTCGCTCACATCACGAACTAACACAATCAAAGTAGATTGTGTTAGTTCGTGAAATAAAAAAAGCGCGTTTGTGTGGTAAAGAATACAAAATTGCTTGACAACCAATACGCGCTCGTTTTGACGCGCTACTGTGATTTCACGAACTAACACAATCTACTTTGATTGTGTTAGTTTGTGATGTGAGCGACGCAATGTACACAATTAGGAAGAAATATACATATCTTATCTTTGGTGATTTCAATGCAGCAGAGGGCGTAACAAAATTAAAGAAAAATTTTTATTTTTTCCTGAAATTTCCACTTTTTCGTGGTGGCGGATGTGATAATTGGCCAAAGATAAATTTTAAAAAAATTGAAATCATCAATATTTGCAGTCAGCAGGTTCACTAAACAAGGTATAAAAAAAGTTTCGCCTAATAATAACAAAATGACCTTGACCCAAACAGTCCTTATATGAGGCCACTGGGACCCAAGAGGTTAATTAAAAAATGTATTGAAAATTAATATAGGTCTCTATTGTCATGAAGTACTGAGTGTGAATTTTTTGCCTAGTTTTCAAATTCCATGGATCAGTGTTAAGCAATACTGTATAAGATATATTAGTGAATTTTGCAGACAGTATAGTATTGAAACAAATCTGCTTTTAATATAATAAAGGGTAGTAAAATGCAGTACCGGGTAATCTATATATAATAAAGATGATATCTGAAATGTGTAGGCGTAATAATTATTAAATGTATCACAGGGCATATTTCATCTTTTAGAGCCATCAAAAGAAAGTTTATTGATTGCCATATTGTTTTGAACATTCATGCTAATTTTTCACAGTAATGTTAGCAGCCATGAATAAATTGCACTCAAATTGGCATATTAGCGCACCCACCACCACAAAAGAATGGATTTTTCAGAAAAGAAAAATAATGTTTTGCCCGCCGTTGCCTTAAAATTTCCAAAATAAGATCTAGGCCTATAAGACTATTAATGTATTTCTTTCTAAAGGCTTGGTTCTCACGAGAGTCCTAGTATCTGGATCGGGAGCTAACCGTTAGCGCTAACCGTTGTCAATTGTAGTCCCGCTAACATAGTTAGCCCAGACTAAACTAGGCCAGGCAGGACTGGCCTGCGACTACTAGGCCGAATTAGTACTTTGTAGGGCGGCCAAGCAAGGCCATCAGCAAGTACACCAAGCTAGGCCCAGTAGAAATAGGTAGGCCTACTTGGCAGGTCCCTCATCTATCTACTACTTAGGCTAGTGTAGGGCTAGGCCTACACTGGACCTTAAATTAGCATCAAGAAACAAATCAAATAATCATTTAGGATATATTACCTGCTTTTTTAGCGTATTTTGCGACATGATTCGTCCTTATATTCTGTAGGATTGAGTTTCTTACTAGTAACCCAATAACAGGCACGCGTTTCATGTAGGCTGCCATCTTTACTTCAGAACGAAGGGTTGTCTAAATAAACAGTGGCCGTGCACTGAGGCAGTGATTGTACAAGTTCTAAAAAAGAAATTGTTAGTTCTAATATTGTATGTATGTCTTACTTTTTTATTTCGGAAATGTTATTCAGACTTATGCGAATGATTTACTTAGCATAATGGAAGTAGTATGATTAGCATTTAGCTTAGTACTCTCTTAAATCATGGAGTTATAAAATTATTATAACTCCATGCTTAAATACAGTTACATGTAGAATCTGTCAACGGAGGAATAGATGATAAGCGTATTCGAACACATGAGGGCGTTTGTTTTCAAAAATGCATTGTCGGCAAGTGGCATGTGCGCACAGAATGATTGGTTACCGTGTCACTGTTTTAATCGGACTTCACGAAATCAGATTAAGATTAAGATGGAGCCATTAATCCACCTACCACTGACGACTTCTTGCCAGCATTTTCAAAGATGCTACGTCGGACCACTGGTAATGAAGACATTGAAGTTGAATATCAGAAGTCCTGCCGTTGTTGTTACACAAGAACGGGAACAATTTATTTGCACTGTATGGCCTAGGCCTGATCAAAAGGAAGGTTTTATTCAAATAGATGCCTCAGTAACCCTATCATTTGATGCATTCCTGAAGCAACCTGTATTGAGAAGGAACCATGAAAGAAGACATTACAACATCCGTCCAATTGAGAACCTCAAAAGATTATCACAACTGGATATTAGGTTGCTAGCTGATGGATCTTCAGATTTATGTAATTTTGCAAATTGTACATCTCAGCTTAAAACTGTACTTGAACATTTAATTGTAAGAGAGCATTGTGTGGTGTCAATGACACAGTTTGACCCCCTTGCAAGACAGCTTGGTATATCAGCATTCATTGTAGAAAATTTCCTTATAGAGTCTGATGGCAGCTCTGGCAATGAGAAAAGGAATCCTGGTGACCTTGGATATGGAATAGTGACACAAAGGACAGAAATAAAGATTGTAGATTGCACTAGTCTTGAAAAGCTGGTTCTCTCTGTTAAGAGAAAAAGACCACTCATTGGTGCTTTATCTGAAGAGCATAACTTTCTCAAAGATCTAATTATTGGTTGTTTCCATCAAAGAGAGATATTTAAAAGAATAGGAATAACTGTTCCCAAAGGCATCCTGCTACATGGACCTCCAGGAGTTGGGAAGACATTACTAGTAAAATCAGTGGCAGAAGATTGTGGTGCAGTTATTGTTGTTGTTAATGGCTCTGAGGTATTTGGCCCACATCCGGGAGAGAGTGAGGAAAATTTACGGAAGGCATTCCAAAAGGCACAGAAAAAATCGTCTGAAGGAGCAGTGATCCTGTTCATTGATGAACTTGATGCCCTCTGTCCCAAGAGGGGAATGGACAGTGAATCCCATGAAAATCGTATAGTGGCCCAGTTGTTGACACTAATGGATGGCATCAGAGAAAAACATGATTTTGTTGTGATTGGTTCAACAAACAGACCCAATGCTATTGACCCAGCATTACGCAGACCAGGAAGATTTGATAGGGAGGCAAGTCAGAAATGCAGTCTTTCAGAAATTCTTGTTAAAATCTTTTACAATTAAAACCCATCAAATAATCAATATTATAGATATAATTATTTCCCTTTGTTGCAGATCATTATAAGTGTTCCAAGCACTGAGCAAAGAAAGGCTATATTGTTAGTGCATACTGAGAATCTTCAACTGTCTCCAAATGTGAGATTGGATGAATTAGCAGAACAGACCAATGGCTATGTAGGTGCAGATCTGGCATCACTCTGCAGAGAAGCATCTTTCCGAGCTCTACGCAAAATTAATTTTCTGAATATCTGCCAAGCAGAACTTGATCAGCAGGTTAGTTCAAATCAAATCATGCTTCGTTGTCAGTAGATACAAGTCCATGAAACCAGATGGATTCTTTTTACATTGATATGCTCAAACTGCAACTGAAGTTCAGCAAACTAGCATTCTGTTGGCCTACACAGTGTGCGGCAGGATTAAAAATATTTAAAATTCATGCAGCCCTTATGAACTAATATTTTTCATTAATTCAAGTCGAAACCAGTTTTGAATTGGGAAGATTTCCAGCAGGCCCTGGCATCAATTACACCATCAACACAAAGGCAGACAACTTGGAAGGTTGATCTTAGACCAGTGTCATGGGATGAAATTGGTGGACTGGATGATGTAAAGATAAAATTGAAGCAGGTGCCATCACTTTGTTGTATTCGTGTTTACTGTCATGGGGAATAGTTTTGAATTCCCCCGGTTTGACTTTAAAAATGCCCAGTTCACTTTAAATACTTTGACATCTAGAATAAGTGATTTTGTAGTTTAATTCAACATTTTTACCTTTATTAGAACATGTTATATTTTCATTGCGGATTTTTTGGGTTCAGTACGGACTCTAAACGTATGCATTTTCTTTTAGTTTTAAGGCGTATGCGGATTTTATAAGTCCGCAATGACGGTATAACATGTTTTAGGAAATTCATTACATAATCTCTTCCATGTTTTGAAAATGTAATATATTTCAATTCAATGGAATAAAATATAAATTAGAGTTCAGCAATTTGTACTTATTAGACAAATCAATCAACGCTTTCCATGAAAATTTTCTTATATAGGATTTAGAGTGGCCTCTCCAGCATGCAGAATCTTTCACTAAGCTAGGGATACAGACACCAAAAGGAGTTCTACTTTATGGCCCTCCAGGTTGCTGTAAAACAACACTGGTAAGGGCAGCTGCAACTTCCAGTCATGCCACATTCTTTTCAGTCAGTGGTGCTCAACTATTTTCACCATATGTTGGTGACTCAGAGAAAGCCATTGCTGAGGTATGTCAGTACTGCATCATGAATAAACTAAGAGAAAACTGCTTGGAGTGTAGCTTAGTTGTTAAGGGGTATGATATCCCAATCCATACTTGCAGATTCAATTAAACAAACCTTAATACTGTATCTGTAAAACTGGCAAGAAGCTGGTAAGTTTTCATTTTATTTTTAAATGAAGACTTTTTTAACTGTCCAACTTCACAAAACCTTTCTGTCAGAATGTGGAGCCAACTACTACCACATATATGTCAGTGGCTACATGACATCTTAAATTACATGGAAATGTTTGAGCTATAAATTAACAAAATTTATTGCAGTCTATACTCACAAATGCACCAATAATAATAATATTATGACAAAATCCAGTTGCTAAGTGAACTATTATATCTCTATTAATTTTGCAGATATTTCATCATGCACGAATTGGAGCTCCGTCAATCATTTTCTTTGATGAAATTGATTCTATTATTGGTAACAGATCAGGTGGCGGTAAGAAGGGAGTGCAGCAGAGGGTCTTGGCTACCCTTCTGACTGAGATGGATGGATTGGGTGCATCTATTCAGGACCGTATTGGTGGAAAGAAGAAGATTTGTGAAGACGAACAAGCTGAATATGATGTGAAGGTAGTAGACAGGTGGGGTGTAAAACAGCAGGGGTTTTTTTCATTTGTCACTCACAAAAAGCATCCTACTAAACATTTTATCTTTATTACAGACATGAATTGACATTATACTGGCAGTATGGATCATAAAGGATGATATACTGTAATTGAAAGTTTTATTTTTATTTTCAGTTAGAAAAAAGAAGCAACATAAATAAAAATATAATATTGGTTGCTGCCACCAACAGGCCAGAATTGATGGACAGTGCCCTCATGAGACCAGGAAGGATAGACAGGTGTGTGTACGTGCCACCGCCAGATCAGCAGGTAGGATGCCAACTATCATCTCCATGGCTGTTGTTATAAGAGGTGCTCTCTTATTCTAGTTGTGATTATACTCTATTGTACCAGAATTAATTGACAGTATAGTACTGAAGTTAATTATATTCCTTTCGGGGATTGATGGATAGTTCTAAAATATAAAAAATATTGTTGTGAATGTTTTAGGTAAAACTTAATAATTTTTGCAGGCCAGACATAAGATCTTGCAGGTGTACACCAAGAAAATTCCAAAAAAAGAGGAGCTAGATCTGGAACAACTTGCAGAGAGTACACACCTTTATAGTGGTGCTGATCTTGAGAATTTGTGTAGAGAGGTATAAGTACAATTGTGCACTATATAATTAATAGAGGCATGTGTTTAACCAGTCTTGGTAGTTAAAACCTACTGCATATTTTATATTTGCGTAGTGATCAATGGCATTATTTTGAATACTTTACTGCACATTATTACAAGTCGATTAATCTAGTGTTTTTCTTTTAAGGCTGCCCTGATTGCTCTTCAGCAAGACGGATTAGACGCATGTGGTATCAGACAGGCTCACTTTTTAGCAGCATTGCAGGCAACTAAACCATCTTTATCAACAGGCCAAATAGACAAGTATAGTAAATTTAGAAGTGAGAGAAGTTGATGTATACTAAATGGATCAATTAAATTTATAAAACTGTTTTGACAAGTAGGAGCAGAAATGCATGAAATAAATTTACTATTTTGCAATTTTAAGGCCCATGTGTTGATTGTAACTATTTGTGGGTGTTTTGTTTAGAGTATTTCTCATACTCCATTGTTACTGCTTGTTTTCAAACTGTAACAAATAAAAGTGGATATATCTAAAGTATATTCATCATGGCATAGATGGATGGATTTCTTTGGTGTGAAACACCAAGGATAGCCCACGAAAGTCCAAAGACCTATTTCCAGTTGGGTCCTTCTGGTGGTGATTGGGTAATACACGGGAGACAATCCCCTACTCTTTTCCGGAGAGTGTACTGCATATTTTTACGTGAACATCGGCCATGTTGCACACAGGACCAATGGCTTAACATCACATAACATGTATTTCAATCCTCTGGCCGAAGAACAAGAAGAGCAACGATGGGATTGAACCGGGACCAAAAGAAACCTCAGGATCTCCAAGGTTCAGCGCACGCTCAAAGTGGCCACCACCAGATTGGGGCACATAGAAAAAATTATTAGATTATCACTCTTTTTTTTAAAAAAGATTGATGAGGGAGGGCATTTTTTTTTTTGTTTTTTTTTTTAATCGGTAAATATATTATTTCGCTTTTGTTTTTATCGATGAGGAAGGGACTGTCTATATTTGGCCTGTACCCGGGCCTGTAATAGTAAATATTGTATAAAAAACTGGTTTGATTTTATAGTTTTTTAAAGAAAATGTATTTGAAGTCACAAAATTGCATTGTTATTTTATGCTGTTAAAATAATTGATGCAACAAAACAAATTTTTTTTTTAATACCCACATCAGTATTTTTCCAAATTTTTGACGCGGACGGGAGTGATAATCTAATAAAAAATTTTATTGCCCTTATTGCCCTTAGCCGACTGAGCTAAATGCCGCTCTAATAATGTTGACAATAACAGTGAAGTTAATGGCAATATGATAATGTTTAGGATGATGATGGCCAACGGTTAGCCAGAGAACCACCTACCTGTCTATTTTATGGTCAAATATGACTGATGACTATATGACAGGTTTGGGCAGCAGGGCCTCTGATGGTGATAATACTGTGCCCTGGAATCTGGAAAGAAATTTCATTGTTTTTAATTTAATTCTTCTTAACCTGGGTAGCCTGCTCAGTTATTTATTGCTGTTCTCCCACAGGGCCCAGGATTACAAACAATAAAGCACTTAAACTACTAAAAATACAATATCAAAATCATCACTAATTGTTGATATATCATACCCACACGATGATGTTAATAATCCAAGTCTAAATGAACTATGAGTTTTCTCTACAATATGTTAAAATAGACAACGCAATTGACATTTTTTTAAAAGGATGCGGGGCATGGTTAATAAAAACCAACATAACAAATGCCTTTTAAATTCATACCCATTCACCCAAAGCCTAAGAAGCAATCAGGGAATTAAAGTGGAATTGGCAATATTACTTTTTCAAAAAACTGGTACAATATTTGGTTTTGTTCGAGCCCCAAAATATTTGATACAATATTATTATAATTACAGTATTATGATTATCTCAATCGATTTGTTGTATAGCATCTGACGTATATAAAGTGGAAAACATTCTCGACTATTTTTCGTCATCGATGTTCCAACTGCATGCATATGTAGGATATAGGACAAAAAACATAAGTTTCAACTCTGCTGAATTGTTGGCGACGAATCGGAACGCTCGACCAATTATTAGCCACAATGCTGATTTTTCCGTTAAACTTGCCACACTGCGTGGAGTTTATAGAAATCAGGCTATTACTGTATTTAACTCAGCATGTTTTGTTTTCAAATTTTCTTTAATTTTTTTAATAGTATTGTAGAAAAGAAAGGTTTAAGTTAGTTTTAAGTGCTTCTATGGTTTTCAATTTCAGTATCTTTTTTTATTGTTTGCGATCGTTCGCATCCCCTACCCCTTTCCTTTAGCGGCGCCCATGCAGTCACTTGTTGCAAAAACAGTATAATGAAAAGTAATAAAATACGATTTTTAGAGAAATTAGAAAAATGAAAATGACGTGGTTTCGTTTAATGATAATGAAGGATTTAGGGCGGTGCCAACTGGCTCGTTTTGGTGCAGATTTGGGGGTAATTATTTTGTTATTTTTATTATTTGTGCATATATTTAAAAAAAATGAATGTTAAGATGCAAAAAATACATCTTTACCGCTCTGTTACATTTCACCGGATATCTATAGCTAGTAGTATTATACCCCTATAATACAACAACTACCAGCGGATACAAAGATGAGGCGCGACAGCAGGGCGAGGGTTTGAAATCTAGTATTAACACTCTTTTCAGTTATCTGAGTTGTTTTTATATTTTATAGCATTCCTAACCTGTACGTTTATCCTGGTACCTGTTCCATTGTTCATTATTCTCTTTTGCTTTTATCATATCCTATATTTTTTACATAGTGCCTATTGGTTCTATTGTTCAACTGGCTCTCTTTTATCATAGAGAAAAAAGAACAGATTAAGTGGTCAATTTCTGGATCCCACCAGTATTTTGATTACTTTCTTTTCTGTTTGATGCCAATTCGTTTGTAGCAGTATTGATTACTCTAACTTTCCAAGATTACCACAAAGAAATTGGATCATTGTAATTTTCTGTTGACATTTTGGCGATGAGTCATCTGTCACATTAGACCGTCGCCATCGCCCTAGCCATCACCAATTACTGTACTATATTATTTTCATAGCTTATCCTATAGCCTAGCCTCTCTGGGATAGAGCCGCTGTGACGGTGCTCTTTTACTGCATGGCATATGCATCTATATAATACTGTAAACATTAATATTTATATGCAAGGCATCTTACCCAACCGTTCTTCAAATACTATTTATATATTAGGCCTACACGGGGAGGTGACGCCCACATTAGGGAGATATGCCTCCCCCTCTCCCGTTGAGGAAAAAAAATCCAATGTAGACCTATATGTATTTTCTACATAGGCATATTAGTAGACTCTGATTAAAATCGATTAAATAAGCATTTAAAACCCCTTATAATTGCCATATTTTGTGGGCTTCGCTTCGCCCTTTGAAACACTTTAGATAGATTTCAGGCGACGTCCGACCACGCCTACTCTCTTTTCGTCGAGGATCGGTCACCCGTCAGAGACATCGGCCCTCCCCCTCTTGCCCATCGTGCAAATCTTGGCGACACCCCTCTATTACATTAATTTAAATGTAGTCTAGCACTATCTTTGAGTCTCATTTTAGCTTTTTATTTTGGTTGTTTTAATGTACAGTATTTAATCATGTTATGGAAACATATTTATGCCTAGGCCTACTTGTTATACACAGGGGCGGATCCAGAGATGTCCAAAAGGAGGGACCGAAAGTTGGGCCGATCGAGACAACACTGTTCTAGGAGGTCCGGGCATGCCCCCGCGAAATTTTTGTGTTCTAGACGCCCGAAAATAACATTTGAGGCGTTCTGGGCTATAATTTTTTTTTCTTTTTCCTTTCCCCACCCCCCTACACATCTAGATGTGTATAAGACTCCACCTAAATCCGCCCTGATACAGATGTGCATAAACAAAATTTTAATTCTAGATTTACAAAAACATGAAAATGTCATACAATTTGTAATTAAACATTAAGCAAACAATGTTAACTTAAACTAAATAGGCCTATTTAATTTAATATGCCAAAATAATTAATAAAATAAAACATTACCATTTAAAATGAGGCCTAGGCGCAGTATTATTAGATAATGTTTATATTAATAATTACGTAAGTGTAAACTGTATATTTATTAAACCGACCTAGGCCTAGGGTCTTAACATCTGCAAAAAAAATCATAATTGTTGATTTATATTAATAATTTTTTTATTTTTTATTCAGCCTATAATTACAGTTAAGCTAAAAAGCAAAAATCAATTAAACTTAAAGCACTACAGTATTTGTAACCCAGCCAGGCCTTTCGAAAAGTAATGTTCAGAACACAACTCAAACCCTACAAAGACAATACATTGGTTGCCCTACAGTTTTTGAAAGCTTTCGGTGAAAATCATTGCGTTCTAAAAATAATGTTTTTTAGCAAAAAACTAGTTCTTATAACGTAATATTGTTAGCTGGGATGATAATTGGTTCCCCTACCATTGTTTGAAAACCAATTGATGGCACGCCTCATAAATAATCATGTGCCTACTAGGCCTACTTCATGGTACTGTACATTTGTAGGCCCTACTGTGTATCAGCATGAAGATACTTTTATACCTGCATGGTTTCAGTAATTCAGCTATAATGTTTTCGATTCACTGCCAAAATAGAAAGTTTGTCAATGGCCAAACCTAAGCTCTACCAAACGCGGCATCGAAAACTCTTAATCTGTATTATGATTGTTTCCTCTGAGAATATAATATAAATAAGCCTATTGCAGAAGGATTATTCAATCACATGACCAGTGGCGTAGAAAAGTATTTTTCATTGGGTGGGGGTGGGGATGATTGGCGTGTTAGCCAGTGTCGTAACAGGCTCGGGGTGGGGGGGACTGCCCCTCCCCTGACGGTTTTTACCGGGCTGACCAAGCCGTCGTACCGGGCTGGGTAATAAGAGAAAAGAAAGAGGGGAGAGGGAGGGAAAGAGAGAAGAGGAAAAGAAAAGGAAAGGAAGAGAAAAATAAAGACAAGAATAAAAAGGAAGATATCATAATGACCAGACTCACACCACCCTGCAACCCCTTCTCCACTTCAAAAACTGTCATAACTCCTTTGATCTATGCTGCCCGATGGCGTAACCAAGGGGGAAAACATCTATCTTTGGAAAATCTAGCTTCCCCACCCCTTTTCCTCCCCTGAAAGTGACTTAAAACCTCAAATTTCTTGTCAACATGGGCCAATTTCCTCTAAAAATTGCACATTTTAGGGAGTTTTGATCAATTCCAACGAAATTAGAATTAAACACCGGGGGGACCGGACAAGGGGAAAATATCCATCTTTGGAAAATTTTTACCCACCCCTTGACAAACTCTGAAAGTGCCTAAAATTCTCAAATTCTTTGCGCGCATTTCTTGTTACGG